AAATAAATTGTACTTAATAATATATTAACACAAAATATCTTTCATTCAGTCAATATATTTAGTGTAAGTAACTTCATAGTAAATGGAGTTAAGCATTATGACGATAATTTGTTATGCATCATCTAGATGTTAGATTTTTTAACAATGCAGCTAACTTTTGAGATTTAAAATCTGAACGAAGTTGAATAAAATTGCTCAATATCGAATGATCCAAACCCACCTACATCAATATAAATTTATTAACTGGTTTACACATACCTACATATTTAAAAATTATATATTACCAATGTGTCACCATAGCACACTTGTTTTAAGTTCTCGTGTTTCACAAGTAGCAAGTTACACAGTGCGTGTAAAGTGTCAAATAAATCAATCACTAATGGTGATCCTAAATCTTTAACACACCTTCTATATTCATTCATATCACATATCGCACACATGGCACCTAAAGAATGTTGTTTTTAATTTTTAATACACAATTAAGGGCATGAATAAATTATTACCAGCAGAGTTATAGGTATATTGTAACAAATGTTCATAAATAATGCGATGGAATTTGATTCCGAGTTCTGCTAAGACAAGCTCCGCATTTTTAGCATCCAAGCATTGACGTATGTGTTTTATGTTGCTACTCAAATACTGAACCACAGATTTGCAAGCCTAAATAACATATAATAAATAATAAATAAATAATACATATTGTAAATTTATGTACTTACTACTGATGTCATTGTGTCTACATCTGTCTCTGGCTTAAAGTCAGACTTTTTTTGTTCGGAAGAAAGACAAATTTTTATCCAACCAGTGATAGCATTTAATGATCTAAAATAAGTTAATTATTTAAATAAAAATATAGAATTAGATAAATGTATTGTTATTTTTTTTTTACAAACCTATCTAGACCAAAATCAATTTTTGATTCTATTTGTTCCAGTTTCTTTTTTTTAAAGCTTATACATTGCGAATACTTAGGAGTTGTACTAGCAAATAAAACAAAACTCATAGATAAATGCTGTATTCAAGAATTATGTTAATAAGAAAAAAAATTGAAACATACATAATTAAAGGGACTAAAGTATCTGACAACTGGTTTTCAAACAACAAAATTATTGCATTGACTTGTTTTATGACTTCAAAGAAGTAAACATTTGGTGGATCATGTGTCTTGGCTTCTGGGATGGGTACAGACTGTACAGCTAATTCTAAGCCGTAATCAACATAATCTTCAATCAAGTAAGATGTTAAGATTTCAAAAATTTGATAGCTATTAGATGGGATATCAGATGATGAAGATAACTGAAAAATATATTAACAGTTCAATTATTTTTATTTTCTATGAATAAATAAAATAAATAAGTATAACAAGAGAATTCAGGAAAAATTAAATAGAATCAATTATACAAATGATAAATACCGTACAACACCTATCCAATGCTTGATTAAATTCTTGAATAAGTGAGGTAGCTACATATTCAGATAAAAATGTTTCTCCACCATAATCTTCAATATGCATTATATTAAAATTGGTACGAGTGCTAATAACTGTTTGTAAATCTCTACGCAATTCTTGAAACCTGAAATAATTATAAAATTGTGATGAATATGTTTTGGTCATTAAAATAATTAAACCAGTGTTTCTCAATTTACTGACATTATGAACTATTTAGAGATCATTTTCGGTTAGACCTCGCAGACCAGCACGAATATTAGAATAAATAAAAACTGAAAGTCTTCCCACCAATAGGCAGTAACAACAACAATAAACAAGTTGTGTTTAGTATTGGTCAGGATAATAAGTTATTACTTGATTATATACAATGGATGAAGCTGGTGTATTTCTCATACACTGAGCTGTGTCTAATATCATCCCCAACACCCATTTCATTTCAAGGATCAAAGCATTATTGTTCATACATTGCACTATGCTGGTTCACTATCCATCCCCACCACACATTTATACATACGCCACGCCAACAATTATGATACAATAACTAATAAGTGGGGCCAAAACAAAAGTAAATAATTAAGGTAGCTTCATCCAATGAATAACTAAGGCATAATATTCAATGGTCAATCATGATGGAAAGATACAATTATGTACAGAAAAGTCTTAATAATAAAATGTTTAAGTAAATAAAACCATGGACTTAAAAAAATATCTTCAGTAGTCCCCACACTTCACATATGACAGACCTATGGACTAACATTTGGGAAACACAGATGACAAAGGATTATGATTTGTAATTGAATAGTAGTAAGTGTTATGAATAATCAACACACAAGTCTAATGAATCCTAGCAAAATATTACTCGTATTTCATAAATTTTAAATAAATTATAATTACCCTCCTGCTTGAATTTGTTTTTTCTGGTGTCCTTTAGATTCATAAAATCGTTGTAAAATTATTAAACATTTTTCTTTAAGGTTTTTCAGTTCAGAACTGTAAATGATAAAAATTATTTAGTAGATTACATTATATTATTCAGATTGAACTAACAAAAAACTTACATAAAGTATGAGTCCAGATACTTTTGAAATATATTCTTTTGCATTTTGTTTAAAAACATATCATCATTTCCCATATTTAAGCGTGAAAGATTTTTAGATAATATAGTTGTTCTGAAAAAAAAGAATTAAAATTCTAATCCTGACAAAACGCATTTTGTGAATTATTTATTGGGCACAAATAATAGTTGAATATCAAAAATGAAACATACTTTTTGTATAACTGAGATAGCTTTTCTAAATAGTTTGCCGTATCTTTAACTTCAGATAGTATTGTGATAATATGATTCTAAAATATTAAAAATAAAAACAAAAGATACTATGGTATTTAATTTAATAAGATACAAACATACTTGTAGCTTAAGTTGATAAATATTTAAAATAAATTTGGCCATAACTTGATCTGGATTAGTAAATACAGCTTCAATAATTTTTAGATTGTTTTCACAAACAGGAATAATATCAGCGAAGAGATTTTTTCCCGAAAGTGAGTTCTGAGGAAATATTAAATACAAAATGTTATTATTTATTTATGACTTAATAGCATATCATACTACCGCTTGACTGTATTCAATGAATGCATCTACACATTGCGAATAACCTTTGAAATGAGTTAATATTGCTGCAATTTCATTCATTCGCACAACATTTTTTCGAGAGTGGTTTTTAATAAATTCTTCAATCAATAAACATTCAATTTCATCATATTTTTTAATTATTTTCATTTTGGCTTCCTCAAACCTAAAATTTTAAGTAGAACTTCAAAAGTGAATTAAACTAGTCATTTTGTCAAAAACTTACTTGCCTGGAGGAAGCTCTTGAGCTATAGGAAATAATTTTTGTATCACATCAGCAGCATCATCAATCTAAATTAAATTTACAATCACATAATTGCTTTTTGCCATAATTGAAAAAATATATACATGTAACAGAAATATTTTTACCTTTGTTGGATCATTAAAAATATCTATGGATAGTGGACCGGCTGACATAAACTCCTCTAAATATCCAATAAGTTTATGAACTTGAACAGCTCTTGAACGTGGTGTATTAATTGATTCTAGTTGATCTCCAACATGAATAACTTTTGTGGCTACATAATTTATTCGTTCATCCAAATTTTGAAATATCGATATTCCAGCCTGTTTAAAAACATAGATATTATTTAAAGTAATTTCTCCAGCGCATATAATTTAAACGAAATATTTTTGTTTTTTTTATTTAAAACAAGTCAGAATAACTATCCAAGTTGATGTTGTTCCATATATTTCAGTTGAAATACAATCTACTACCTATTTTTTAAGACTACATACATTCAAATATCTCCATTTCCAAGTTTTAACCAATTAACTAATTTACTCTTCTTCAGTGTTATACTGGCTGAGCCTTCATTTCTTTATTTCAAAAACTTTTAAATTGTTTAAAAAATGTTATTTGAATGTGTACATTTGATATAGCATTATCCTTACTTTATACAACATTTTAACATTCCCTAATCAAACCAAAAATCAACAGAATCAAATCTACCTTATTTTGCTCTTGAAGATTTTGAATTTGTATTGAATATAGAGATTCCTTTTCTCGACAAACTTGTTCTAATTTTTCACATTTTCTTTTTTGACGTTCTTGTAAAAACTTTAAGTCTCTGAAATCCATGGAATAAATTAATACTCAGAAATATTACTATTTGATTATTATTCATCATATTATATCAAAGAATAGTACTTAATTGCTTGGACAAATGTATCTTGAACATCGTCCACTACTGCATTGTCACTGTCAGCACTGTTTCCAAATACACGATAAGCTAAACGTTCGACAAATTCATCAGGATCGTATGGATCCTAAAAAACACAAGTAACAACGAAATAAAATTTTTTCTAATTTACAAGCATAAAGGTGTCAACAATTTTACCTGTTCCATTTCTTTAATGTATTGTTGCATCATTTTGTCGGTGTTATTTCGTAAAATTAATAGTATAAGAATGAAAAATAAAAATAATCGGTTAATGCGAAATGTGTGGCAGTATATTATACGTACATTTTAATAAATAATAACTTAGAGGTAGCGATAACCGTTTGACGAAGTGTATAAAATTAAATAAAAACGAAATTCTCGATCGACGGACCACAGCGATACGCGAATTTTAACAATTGTTATCAGCTTATCACTGCGGAAAGAGGAGGGCGTTATCCTGATGATTTGGCTGAGAGGACGTTGTAAACGACACGGAAATTTTATGTATTCATGCCCAAACGAATGAAAAATAGGTAAAACAATATTTTTTTTATAGAAAAATTTTTGAAAGTGGCAAATTTGTCTTGTTTATTTTTTTAGATAAATTGTAGAATTATTATTTAAATTATTAATACTATTATTATAATTATTTTCAAATGTTGTGTTGTACTTTATTGTCGTTTATCAAATCGACAGATGTCCAACAGAGGAATATACGGAATCATCCAGATTTTCGACGTTTCCGAGTTTTCGGTACAGATGTATCGTCTCCATCCTGGCGGCGATATAATACTCTATCATCTGTCGTTTCGCGCCCATTTGCCTTGTCCTCGTTCCCGACCGTTGATGATAACAAACATTTTAAACAATACGGTCAAGCGTCTGCGACTGATCAACTTACTATTCCAACACCTAACCACACTTAGCGCAACAGCATCGCAGTTTACAATAAGTAGGCATTATACAAATATAGTTGTTTTTTCTTTGGTTTCTTGTCCACATAACTAATCGTGCTCTCCGACGTCTTTAAAGAGTTCAAACTCCAATTTCGATCGAATCAATCACCGGTAAGTGTTAGTTATTTTTTCAAACAATTATCAACGTATGTTTGAATAATCGCTAGCTTGTCGTGTTTGTATGTGTGTGATTTACCGATCATTTCTACTACATATTTAACAAACTCGAATGTATGATTTACTCGAATCAAAATGTTTATTTTTTCTGTCCGTCGCTTCACTTAACAATGTGACTGAACTTTCCACGTCAAATATAAAAGAGTATCGTTTTTGTGTAAACCTTGTTATAGTGTTTATCAAGTAACATAATTTGTTTTTGGTTTTTGAAAATTAGTCTTACACTGGACAGTTAATTTGTTATAATAGGATTTTCCTTTTCTAATTGGCAATGTGATGATCAGCCTTTGTCCCGCCAAGTCCTCGCCTTATAAGAATTGCTCACAACCAATTTTTAAGTTGAAATTATGTGTATAACAAGTACAATAACTATTTCTAGGGTATTTAAATTTCTTTTTTTTATCATTATTATAATATTTAGTTTTCTGTTATTGAGGGGCTCGGATAGAACTGGCAAGCCACAGACAAATCTCAGTGAACCGCTTCAAATCAGAACCTATAGAAAAAAGTATACATTATAAAAATATATAAGTAATATAATAGTGGTATAAATAATATTCTTTATGAGTTTATGTAGTACATTGTATATAGGTAGTATACATTACAAATACAAATTCGATTACAATAGAATAGGTGAATAACTAGTAGTGATAAAGATGACTATCATATTATGATCGGGGAACGGAAAAAAAGTCTCGGGGAAAAAAAGTCCCGGAAAAAAAGTCTCAAAGAAAATAAGTCTTGGTGGAAAAAAAGTCTCAGGGAAAAAAAGTTATATTTTTATAAAAAAAAATATGTCATTGAATCGTAGTCGTATTTAAAAAATAACACATAATATTACATAAATATAATAATATAAATAATATAAATGATTATCGTTGTAGTTTAAAATTTTGAAATATGTATATCACACAATGTTAGATGACTTGTCAGGAACATATTTTTCACACAATAATAACGTTTTATACAGAGTGATAGTATAAGTTTAGTCATCTAACTTTATGTGATATACTATGTGTATATATTTCAAAATATTAAGCTACAACGATTAAATACGACTACGATTCAATGATATATTTTTTTTATAAAAATATAACTTTTTTTCCCTGATACTTTTTTCCACCGAGACTTTTTTTCCCCAAGACTTTTTTTCATACCATCATTATGATCGATGTGTATAAAAATTATTTTTACTGTAGCCCAATTTACAAATGTACAATAATACAAAATTTCTAGTCCCAACAAATGATATTTTTTGAATTACAAACAAAGGAACTAAAATTGTTATTACATTATGTTTAAATACCTTAAGTTGTCTAAATTAAACTTTAATCCCTCATAAAGACTCTTGTTACTTTATACTACACTTTAATAAAATCATTTGAGAAATTTTGAAATCTTAGAAATCACGGTATTTCAAATCTATTCAATCCGACTCTGATCATTGGTGGCCTGCATAAATGCAACATTTTACTCTTATGGCCTACTGGAGATACAAATAATGGTCATCACTGATTAGACTAAATATAGTTTGTCGATTTTCTTTTTTTTCATATTAAATATTATGATTTTTCACGTCTGATAAGGAAGATCCTAAAATGTTATATATCTGAATAAGATAGTTTAAGTAAAGTTTTTCGTTTTGCGTATAATGTAAATTTGTTTGTTTATTTGCAGTCAATATAATATTGGCTTAATACAATATGGCTATGGCATCTACTTCACATGTTGAAGAAGCCGTTGTTGATGATCATGAAGAAGATGATGGACCATTACTTATCTCAAAACTCGAAGTAAAATTTGTTATAGTTATTTATTAAATTAATACAGTTTAGAATGTTGAATAGTTCGATACATTAAACTAATAACTTATATTAAATGTACCTATTTATAGTGAGTAAGTATATAAGTACGTATTATAATTGAAATTATGAACAATTTTTGTTTTAATTAATTTTCTTGTATATTGTATTTGAGATGATTAATTATGTTGATGAAATGGTACAGGGTCAAGGAATTACTGGTGGAGATATTAAAAAGCTTCAAGAAGCTGGATACCACACTATAGAATCTATTGCTTTTGCAACAAAAAAACATCTCATTACCATTAAAGGCATAAGTGAAGCAAAAGCTGATAAAATATTGGTATACTATTTAAATATAATATTCAAACATTTTCTTTTTGATTTTTATAACAACTATCTTAAAGATGATGAAACTGTTCTACATGTTCATAATTATTCATCATAGGCTGAAGCATCAAAAATGGTTCCACTTGGTTTTACTTCTGCTACAATATTTCATCTAAAGAGATCTGAAATTATTCAATTGACTACCGGTTCAAAAGAATTAGACCGTTTATTAGGTGGTGGCATTGAAACTGGATCAATTACAGAAATATTTGGGGAGTTTAGAACTGGTAAAACACAGTTGTGCCATACTTTGGCTGTAACTTGTCAGGTAAAGATAATAAATTTGTTTGAAGTTATTTAAAATTACAAATACTAAATTTTGAGAACTTACTTTGGTTTATTATCTTCAAACTTTGGCAGAATTTCATATTTTATTAGTTTTTAGAAAATTTGTTGAACATCAAATATAGCTTTAAAAAAAAAACACTCTTTATAGGGAATAAATTACTATATAGGTTTTGTGTTTCTTAGCTACCTATTGGTCAAAACGGAGGAGAAGGAAAATGTCTCTATATTGACACTGAAGGTACATTCCGGCCAGAAAGATTGCTTTCAGTAGCTGAAAGATATCAGTTGGTAGGAAGTGATGTACTTGATAATATTGCTTGTGCCAGAGCATATAATACAGATCACCAAACACAATTATTATTGCAAGCTGGCGCTATGATGGCTGAATCTAGGTAAAATATTTTATACTATAACTATAATCTTGTACATAATCTTTAACTATTATTTATCTCAATGTGATCGCAGTGGTTAAGTGTTTTCCATCAACAATTCATCATTTTCAAACTTCAATTAATTTTAACATTAAAGATTTGAATAATATCCTAATTAAAACTATAGTGAGCTCACTTAGGGCGAATCGTGTTATGAAATACAGCACAACCACTGACAGATCAAGAAAAAGTATAAATAATTTGGTACTTCAAATAGAAGCGTTAACATTTAAAATACTCATTGATTTTATAACTATTGTGTTAAAAGCAATTAAAAGTGACAACTTTTCAAGTAGAAAAAATACATCAATAATTAAATGACTACTTAACTACCTATTAAATTATTTACCATAAAAAGTAAATTTTTTTTATAGCTTAATTAACCCAATTATTTAATATTTATTATAAGTGCAAGTTTGTGAATAATTACCATTTATTTTTCAGGTATGCATTATTAATTGTGGATAGTGCCATGGCTTTATATAGAACTGATTATTCTGGCAGAGGTGAATTATCTGCCAGACAGAATCATTTGGCCAGATTCCTCAGAATGTTATTACGTCTTGCAGATGAGGTAAAAATTAAATTATAATATTTTACCATGTTTTCTTCACCGCAGTACTGTAATATCCACCCAGGCAATCGTAATAATGCTGCAGAAATATGAGGACACTTCTCCCATGCTATTTCGAGGCCCTCATTTTATGCTACTTAAAAAAATGTTAAATTAATAATTCATATAGTTTAAGTAATCATTTTGCATAAGAATAATCTATTTTTATGTTTTTTTTCTATTAATTAATTTAAAGTAATAACCATAATGCAGATGGACATAGAAGACTGTATTTTATTGTATGCAAATGAAAACTAATGAATTATAGCCTTAACAATATCGTTATATCGTTAATATTATTTGTATGAAATTTATAGCCCAATTATAATCTGTAGAAAGTATTTTTACTTCTGATTTTATCCTAATCCTTAAAATTTCTCCAGAAGATTGGGATTTAATTGAGAAATTATATGATATTGTGTTAACTTAAAAAACACTATTGATTAGGATTTTACACTCCAAATTTAAAAACTGTAGGAAGTAACTAAAAATAAACACTTAAAGAAGAGTATACAATTGACATGAAATGGTTTTTTTTATATATTTGTAAAAATTACTATATTTTTTTTACATACATGAATAAAAAGTCCTCTTAAATTCTAGCAGCTTGTAAAACTCTTTGCAACTACAGAGAGGATTTCTTGGAAATTAAAAATTACTTAAGAATCTCCTGTTATTAGAATAGACTTCGAAACACGAATTTATTCATGAACATTTATTTATGATTTTTCAAATCTAAAACCAAGAAAAATTAAATTTCAAATTTGTTTATAAAGCATTAAATGCTATGTTTATTGAAGCAAATGTATTAAATACTTTTCAAGAATAGGATTTTTTTTAAATAAGATTATTGTTCAATTATGTAGTATATTATGTTCTTTTATTTTAAAAGTTTCTTTGGAAAAATATTTATACTTACTAGTTATATGAATTAAGTTATTTAATTGGTATTAAATAAACTATGTCATAAGTCACAGTCATAGACATTTTTAAAATAAGGTTTTGATAGTGGATGACCCACATATTATCCTTTGTGTAAGGAAAACAATTCTGTGGCATTGTTTCATCATAGGATAGTAACAACACATCTGTCTCATCTCACTTTATAATATCAATATTACACAATATTTTTTCAGTTTGGGGTTGCAGTAGTAATAACCAATCAAGTAGTTGCTCAAGTGGATGGTGCTTCTATGTTTGCAGCAGATCCAAAAAAACCAGTTGGTGGTAATATAATGGCTCACGCATCTACTACTAGATTGTATTTGCGTAAAGGCAGAGGAGAAACAAGAATTTGCAAGATTTATGATTCTCCTTGTTTACCAGAGTCTGAAGCAATGTTTGCTATTAATGCTGATGGAATTGGAGACGCAAAAGAGTAACTGTAATCATTTTTTTATTCATTCATAAGAATACCACTATTAAAAAAATATTCAGCTTAAACAATTATTTTTTAATTAAATTAAAAATTGTTTTAAAGAATTTTTTTTGACATTTGCTAAGCTAAACAAAAAAACAAATTGTTTAATTTGGTTGTATTGCGTTTTTTTAATTATCCTTATGTTGACATGTTATTATGTAGAATTATCTTTTATATTAAATATAATTTATCATACATTTATATATTATAGTAGTGTTATTTTTTTCAGCAGTAAAATTAGTTTTTTCATCCAAGTATTGTATTACCCTATGTATATCTATTGTAAATATTTTATAATAATTAATATTGTATTTAATCAATACAAAAATTATATATTAAAAATATAATCTGATGTTGTAATACAAAAATAGTCTATTTATTATATATCAATATAACTTTCTAATTATTACCATGTTTTTAGTGTGTGTGCTATAAAAACCTAGTATTGAGCAACCCTAGTGGGTCTTAATGCTCTGTTCAAAATGAGATTGTACCTCGGTAGTGATAGGTTTTTGTCCTTGATCGTCACATACATATGCATTCCCCACTGAGTCCACGTTCGAGGCCAGTGACTTAGAACAAAGCCACATGCCACCAGAACAAGTTGGCCACCAATTACAATCTTATTTTGAACAGAGTATTTAAACTCAAGAGTCCTTTAATTTGTATTTTGTGATATGTTCAATGATAAAACATTGGTATATTTATATTATTTTCACTTGCTTTTATCAGTGGTCCAATAAAAGTCATACATTTGAATTAAAGACTAAGTGCATTTATAGATTATAATATGTGAATATATGATTATATCATGTCATTCAATTTCTTTACATTTCATATGCAAGTTTTTTTATTGAACATCAATTTTTTTTTTCATAAAAAGTTATTTTCATCATCTTAAAATGATTATTTACTTAACAATAGTTGATAACATTTTACATAAATGTTCCATTACTCGTTTACTCTTTGAAAATATTTAAATTTAAATAATACAGTTACAGCCAAACTGTATTACAATTTATAAGCCTTAATAAATTAATAAAATTTAAATTAAAGAAGTATCTACATAATGTTATTGGTTATTAGCTATTACTAGGCAACAACTTAAATTTCTTAAAAAATAAGCACATATTTTTTAATTTATTGACAATTTAACAAGATGTTTGAACTTCTAATATATATGTCTTAGTTTATAATAATAACCTACTTTTAAAATGCTGCCAATTGCAATAAAAGCAAACATGAACAAATATAAACTACTATAACTTATTTTTAAACATTATATATATTACCTTTCATAAGCTAATTGTACACTATTTTAAACTTTTAATTTATCATAAAAAAATTAATGAAAATTAAAAAATATAAATGTCCTAAATCTAACATCATTAAAAACATCATAAATACATAATAATTTAAAATTTAAATAATACAAACATTATTAATAAGCAACAAATGCTATATTATTTTTGACTACTATTGTTTGTACCTTAGGGTTTTTTTTGTTTTCATGTTACATACAATAAAGGAATTTTAGAAATATTCGCATTAAATAATTTGACCATTAAAAATATACAAATACTTAATATGCACAAGGTATTGAGGATTTCTTCTTTGAAATTCATTACTATGCTTATGATTAAACATTTAAATTTTGTGAAAAATTATTGTTTCTACAAATATAAATAAAATCATTATAAATATATTATCAAAATAAAATTGTGACAGCACGGTGCTTATCACCGCTTTCTCTCTCTTGATAGTTCCCTTGTGCTATCCGCGCTCTTTTTATTGTATTCGTTTTGTGAATTATGCTGTAAACGACTTATGTGACATTTATTTCTATGTTCCTTGTCTCAACAATCTCTTAAACGATTTGATTCAAATTTTTTTGGAGAATTTCAAAATTACCAATTTTTAAATCTGATTATAAGATCAATTTTGCTAATAAAAACATTTACCTAAGTCAAATAGTTGGTTTTTTAACATTTTATATTTATAATATTAATATTTTTTTGGAAATCATTTTTTTCAAAATTTTATTTCTGGGAATTTCATGACATGATTATTTGTTAAATCTTTCTGTTACACGTTATATTATGAATATTATACATGTACTTCTTAAAATTAAAAAGTACTTATATTGGAGGGGAAATAATGCGTAAGGTGTTCCTCCTCCTCATGTGATGGTTGAAAATTTAAAAAAATGGGTACCTATATTTTATTAAAATAATAAATTCGGTAACTACTATATACTTACAAATTATAACCAAAATCTATAATATTTGAAAATTTAAATTGTTTAATGGGTAAAACTTAAAAATGAAATGAACAATAAAACCAGAATTTTCACATTTATATAAGTTTTTGATTCAAATTCATTCAATTGTACACGAATTGTCATTTTCTTCTAGTACTCAGATCTGGTACCCAAATGTCGATCATTGTATTTAAAGAAGTTAGAAGCCTATCAAGGCTGAATCATAATATCCATCAATTGGCTGAAAAATACATAAATTCTATGTTAGAAGTATTGTAAATATACTTATTTGTTGAAAAATGTAGATACATACTATAATAGTATGTCATATTCCTACAGCAGATTAAGTGCTTTGTGCCGTCGCATATCCTATGCCTCTTTGTATGTAAAATGTGTAAAGTCGAAAACCTTATTCGAGTGTCTAGCAAGTCAGACACCCTCAAGTGAGAATGAACTAATACGCAATTTGGTCACTTGGGTGACAATCTTAGTACGTCGGATCGCGGAAAATATGTAAGCATTATGTCAGGTAGATCTGACGATGAGCTATCTAAATTTAGTGTAAATTAGCCACTTAGGTAGGAAACTCATGCTAACTGTACTTATTTAATACTTGTAATATTTACAATTATGAGTTGCTAATAGGTAAACTATAAGGAAGATCACCAATGATGAAATCTTTATTCATTACATAATCAATAATCACCGAGTATAATACTCTTATTAGAATAAAAGATAAATAATAGATTTTTCTTGGTTGCCAAATAATGAGTATGCTAAGGAACGACAATCTCGTCCTCAAGGGGAAGGGGCGAAGGGGCATTCACCATTACCATAACAATTTTTAATGCATGAAATTACTTTAATTATCAACAAATAATAATGATCAAAATAATTTTGATAATAATAATAAAAATTTAAATTTATAGGTTCACCCCTCCCCCACCAAAACTGTCAAGGGACACTCATGTGGGACGAAAAAAGCAATTTCCACGCTACCACCACTTATTATGGCAGTTAATTGATATTCCATTGTACATTATTATCAATTAAAAACTAAATTAAAAAAAGTGGGTAAGTGGATGACGTTCTGCTGTACATCATGTGTCTAGAAGGTCTCTGTAATGGATGGTATATTAAATTTAAATTCAATGATATCATATCATTGTATACGTTAACGATTCTGAGTGGAAATGGTATGTCCGTCTAGGATATTTTATATTGTTATTACTTATTATTAATATGGTAGCCTAGAAGTTGAATTAAAATTATCCTTAAAATATCAATGATGATAGAAAAATATTAAACATACCTATGTAAAATTGAACTGTTTTGGAACCGAAATACAACAAAATGATCAGTGGCGTATATCATAAAAAAAATAGGTGTTGCTCAAATAATCTTAGGTGACCTACCCCTCATTACACTGCTGTTATATCGACCTATAAAATGTCCTATTTTACTTCTATCAATACCCTTCCATCCACATTTAAGGTGTTGCTTGAGCAACACTTGTACCCTATGTTACACGCCACTAAAAATGATCAACGTTATTCTTTGTGTTAATATGAAATGTCAAAATTTGAACTTCAAACGCTCATAAAAAATTAATTTGACTTTCTAGTAGAAATTTGTATTTTGTTAAAGGTAGACAAACTTATAAGGAATCTTGTATTAAATGACTACATATAAGATATAAAAAATTTTTTTTATGAATTTCTACCTCCAAATAATTTACTAATTTTCATGATTTTTACGAATTTTGTCAAAATTCTAAGTTTAAATGCTCATAAAAAAATCATTGTGGATCAACTTTTTTTCTAATTTCCACTAATAGAAACTTACGAGGAACCTTGTGTTACATTTACTAGTTTTTTTGAACGAGCGAAAAAAAAAATTTATTGACAATTTCATATACCTATAAACAGTTTAACACAAGTCAAAATATTTTGAAAATTGTATGGTGTAGGTATAGGAAATGTTAACACAAATATTCGGTGAAAATGTCATATATATAAGGTAATTATTGTTAGAGTTACACTAAAAATCAAAATCGATTTTTTCTTTAACTAGATTTGTTTAAAAATTCCCGTTTATTTTACTTAATTTTTTGTTAATTTTTCCTGTCGCTTTTGAAAACGTTTGGGAATTTTAAATTTTGACCTCCTGAATGCACCAACTAGATTCAGTGTCCTACCTGGAAAGTTGCTGTTGATAAAATCAAAGCACTTTTACTGCTCCAAACCGTAATGGCAGACACAAAAAACAAATACATCAAGAAAAAAACACACATCATTCTAAAATCAATACATTCATGGCTCCGCTCAGAATCAAAAATCACATGGAATTTAAACCCAACCAAAAAAAATTTAACTCAATTTTTATTATATATAATATAGAATATATTACTATTTACTAAAAGCTACTTATTAAATTAACCATTTAAAATACAAAAAAAATATTCGATTTTGGTTTTCCGAATCAGTTTTTGTAAAAGCACATCTAGAGAATTAGAAACCTTCCAAATTTTAAGTTCATACGTTTTGTCAATTTTTGAAAAAGTACCCAAATGAATGGGTTATAATCGTAGAATTTTATTTAATTTTATGGGAAAAATTTCAACACTAAAGTATTTTTATTTTTCCTTATCCAAATTTCCGACTCTTCCGGAAGATTTTCCAAAGAAACCTCAAATTAACATTGTTCTGACAATTACAAAAAAAACAGCCAATTTGATAGAGCTATTCTCCAGATCTACAGATATGCGGAAATACATTTTTATTTATATAGATGAAGACATTGACATTAAATAAATTCTTCAGTAATTTTTATTATAATGAATTAGAATAATTTGGTACTTTATTACTGTAAATTAACCTATACATTTAGTACAAGTTTAAGGGCATTTAATCTCAGCTGTTTTTTCCTCCAAAAGTAAAAG